ATGGGGGTCACCGGTGACCGGCGCACCCAGATTAGTAGAAGTAGATAGATCCATTATGTGTTGTCGAATATGGAAAAATCCGCTTTTACTTTAGTGAACAATAACCCTAAGGAACGTTTCGACTTGAAAGCTGTTTGATGGCAATTAAGGGCTTTGACAGTAATGTAACAAATGCTAAATCTTGTAACGATCCTTTAGGATTATTGCAGGTCCGAATAAGTATGACCGAGGGATGAATTATGGTAGATCCCGGGACAACAATTAAATTCCCGTAGAACAATTAAATAATTAAAATGCTAAATATTAAAATATTAAAATGCTAAATAGCAACGCGAAGAAATAATATGAGATAATTGATAATCGCTGAAAAATAAGTGAATCGAGCGAAATTGCACTACAGCGCCATGGGGGTCACCGGTCACCTCAGTGAGATAAATTCATTAACGACGATTATACACGGTAACATATCTCTAGTAGGTAATATTTCAACATTGTATGTATCGCATAATAAAAAATTCATGGTAGCGCCACGGCAAAATCTCGTAAAACTGGCGTGATATTCAACGTGTTAAAGTTTCGCCTTGTTTGAGAGTGAAATTATACCAATGTTTATAAATATCTATTATAATGTCGAGTCTGGCAAATTAACGATAGTAGATCTGATAATTACAAGACTTGCGAATTATTTCTATCATCGTACTTGCGAAGGAATATTCGTTTTGGAGTATTTCTCATGACTGAGCTTATTGGAGTACCACGTACTCCAATATATTATAATTGAATTATTCGTATTTGTTTGGTAAGTCTAACGGATAATTGTGCTTAATCTGTACGAACTACTCGGATTACCCTTTAATTATCGGTTAGCCTAATGTTTTGTAAACTTATTCAATTTGGAACGAAGTAATTAAATCAGATGATCAAGAGTTAAGCACCTACGCTCGATCGTTACGTAGCCATTAACCTCAAAGCTGAACGAATTTTCTGTGGAATAATATTTTAATCCGGTTGCATTTCCGTATCGTATAACAAATAAACACGATTAAGATAATTACTGCACGCTTGGCAAAAAATGTATAGATTGGTTGAAAAGTATTATACATTCTCGCTTCAGCCATTATACGATATAATACATTAATTAAAAGCGAGCTAAATCACGTATTTCTCATCAAACCTTCGCCACATATTCCATTAACACTAGCAAATGAAACTTGCCACCGTTTTCAGCAACAGTGATTCTCAACATGTTTCCCATAATCATAATTTGTTCCTACATGCTGATAATCATTTATTTTATTACCAAATTTGTTAATGTTCTTAGCGGTAGAGTTTTAGATAAAAAATAACATCAAATTGATGACCGATATCGTCAAGATATTGTATATCATTTTTATCATAGTACTTGTAGAGAAATATCTGTTTTGGAGTATTCCTCTTGATTAGAGTTATTGCGGTATTATATGATCCAGTAATTAAAATTAATGACAGTAACTTAAGTTAAAATTAACCTATATTGCTATATTATTATATAGTATGTTATTTAACTTAAATCCCTATTATTAATCTTAATTATTAGAGCATATAATACTTCCATAATTCTAATTACCAGGAACACTCCAAACCGAATATTCCTAAATTACTAAAATATCCTAAGGTAATTCGCCAAATCTCCAAGTATCTAAATAAATAACGAGGCAGCCTAAATAACTTCGGAATCAATTGCAACTAATAATTGCAATCTCGAAAAAAAACCGAAAGAAACAAAAATTAAAATCAACCTCCCCTTCTCCATCGGATCGAGTATCTTCCCAAACAATTTCCCAACGATACAGTAACAGAACCAGGAAGTAATGGTGTCTTAATTATTCGCCGCATTTATCGTGAACTGTCGTCAATTACGGAAAGAAGTCCAGGATAATGGGCGGGGGGAGGAATCGAAGGAGTGGGAGGTAGATCTGTAGAGGGGGAGGGGGAAGGACTCACGTCGACTTCAGCGGATTTTATCGGTTTTTACTGAATTATTTATAAAATCTCTGATTGATATTCACGATTATCAGGAGGAGCCCGTGCTCTCGCACACCCGTAAGCATATGTATTGTTTTGATAAAGAAAGCCGAGGTGGAAGGGATGGGGGGGCGGGATCGCGCGTGTAGCAGAATCATGTACCGCGAGAGAGAGCCCGCGGGAGACGAGAGGACTCGCGCGCGGCGAGGTTTCACAGGATGAAAAAGGAGCAGAGTAAATGAGAGAAAGAAATATAAAACGAGAGGAAGAGAGAGGGAGAACGAAACGGACGTGGAACCGGAACGATCGCGGAGGCTCGAGGGAAAAAAGGTAGGGCACGGAGCGAGGAACGAAACTGCGACTGGCAGAAAAGCTGGTGGAACGACTCGAGAAGAAAACGCACGGCTGCGTTCGGTGGTGGGTACCGTCAAGAAAGAGAGCTCGATTCGTGAATACACGCGCCCCGAGACGCGCAAAGCTCTCGTGGCTAGAAGCAGAGTGAAAGAGAGCGGGAAAGGGAGGGAATAGGAAAGAGGAAAGGAGAAGGCTATAGAAGGAAAAGAGAGGGATACAGTTGATCCCTGTGAAAGAAAAAGGCGGAGGAGGGAAAAAGAGACAGAAACAGGGGGGCACAGCAGAGACGAGAGGACGGTAAGGAGAGGTAAACGAAAGAAGGAGAACAGGAAGGAAATAAAAATCCAGGAGCGGAAAAGGGATCGAGAAAGCGATCGGAGGGAATAAAACCAAGGGATCCGGGGACGTAAACACCGCGGTGTATTTTGGAGCGGGTGATTCTCGGGTGTTACGCACGAGGAAATCTCCGTTCGTGTTATTTCTTACTTCGCTCTTCTTTTTTTTCTCTTTCTCTCTCGTTTCCCGACGTTCTGTGACTGTCGACGTTTGCGACGGCGACAGCCAAACATCGCGAGTTTTGATCTTCTCGGGGTATATACAAAACACGGCCGAGTTGATACACGCGCCTATCGGTCCTGCCACAGGAACGGGTCACACTCATAGTATGCAGGAAAAAAGGCTGGAGAAGAAAGAGTAGAAGTTTAACGTGGTAAAGATTGGAAGGAAGAAAAGGAGCAGGAAAGAAGGCGAAATAATAAGGGGAAAGAGAGGAAGAAAGGCTGGGAAGAGAAGAGCAGAGAAAGCGAGCGGTGTAACGAATAAGAGAGACAAAGACAGGGAGAGGGATTTTAAGAAAGGAATCGCGGTGCTCTCGGAAAAGAAAAGACGGGGCCAGTGGACTTACTCGGTATATCCGACGGTGCTTGTATTTGCTAGTGCCGTGATGACGATGCGTCTCTCCGGCGAGACCTCTGTTTCATCCTCGAAAATGTCAACTATCGACGAAAAAATGGTACGGGCTGAAACGCAGACACATCGTACCTCTCTTTCTTCGTCCTTACTTTCTCGCTCTCTCCTAGCGACGACGATGATTCGGCGTGAACTCTCGACACTTCGACACGACGCACACACGCACCACACTCACGGCGAAATATATACACACCGCGCCGAACGACCGTAACAATAATGGCGTGTTGACACGGTGGAGGCATGCAAAGTGTTTCCCGATCGTATCGAGTAAACGGAGATCACAATGAATTCACGATGAATCAAACACTACACAGCTAGGCATTTCGCGGCTCGTCTCTCAGGCACATCTCGGTCGCCATCGAGATCTAACACGAGTGCGCGGGACGCGCACTCTTGCGGCCTCTGACTAAACTTGCCCCTTCAAAGACCGGCCAATCAACGGGCCGCATGGCCTATGCCCTTGCCGCGAGCAGTCCTGTATCTAGTTGACGCGCCGTCATTCATTCATCTCCAAGAATTTTCTCTTCACCTAATTCTGCGAGAACATGTTGCTTTCGATAGAGTTTTAGATCGGTATAAATCATTCGTTCTGTTATCGACGTGTTTTAAGGAGTGAATAAATCGATCGTCAATTTATTTCACTGTTTCACGGTATTGCTAATTAATGTTACTACCGAGAAACACGCACACAAATGCGCGTCAGCACGTAGTCAATGTATCACCGACAGTCACGTACCTAATTGATTTAGCGCCTCCTTGCTCCAAAAATTTCGTAGCAATTTTGGAGTATATATTTTTAATGGTCGATTAATTAAAAAAGATACAATTTAATATTGCCTTGAACATACTTGTTCTGTTATAAAGTATTTAAACATTGTAATCAACTAATAACTTTGGATAATTTCTTTTACTAATTATGCGTGTAAACAAAGTCATTCCCTGATAATTAGATATCATTATTATTTAATACACGTACATATTATGCTAATATTCTTGTTGAGTATTAAATGTCTGTATAATATTCTTTTTTATATGCTGAACATTTTTGTGGATACGTTAAGTAATACAAATTTAATTCTTTAAGTAGGCAACTATATATATATATATATCAACTCAAAAGTAAATTTTTAACATTCATATTAGATTATACTTGTTTAACGAAATGTTATACATATTTAATGTAATAAAAACAATTATTTACAAAAGATATACATTTTCTGTCATGTTTGATATCTGATATATTTCTTTTTCCGTATATCAATTATTTTATATTAAACATTTGCTACTCCAATAATTAAACCTAAATTACATTAAATTGCGCTAATGAATATTGTAAATTGTAATATTAAATTTTTGCTATTATACAATACTTATTTTTAACAGATATATATATATATACTTCATGGTTGATTTCAACTGTATCAGCAAACAAAATATAATACATACTTAAATTTTTTTAAATTTAAATCGCCTAAAGTATTATAACATCACTAATGCCTGTTATACAATTACATTTCACGAGTTATCGATAAAAGAATATTTTTTATTCTAGTACCTTAATCTTTTATTGATAAAACGATATTACATATTTCGATTTTTCAGCTGGGCTCGGTTGCTCGATATCATAAGATCTATATTGCTTCCTAACGAGCTTCCCAGTTGTTCCACGTTAAGAAGAGTGGAGCTAGTGTCGTACAGTTCACAACTATGTTGGCGAGCAACACGAGAGGGGAAGGTTTTTAGCGCGCCATGCGATTAACAAACGTTGCAGCATTTTTACATCCGAAGAAAACGAGAAGAGCTCGACGAGGATGAAGTTTAATTCAACTTCTCGTTATCCGATTCGGTAGCTATGAAATCTCATCGATACGCTTTGTGTTATACTACCGTTTCTCCCTTCTACTTGTTCCGCGTTATCGATTGTTACGAACGCGCCGACTGATAATGCGTTAAATGTGTGCACTTCCTTTAAAACGAAATCACATATCCTCGCATCTATTTACCGGAAAGAATCGAATATCACGATAGAATTATGGATACCGTATAAAATTAACGTGCGCTTGGACACTCTGCGGCATGGAGGTATGTTGCAACAGATATGCAATCACTTTTTAATAATTTATGTTGTTTAGATAGGTTGCCTGCTTGATATTCAACGTAGGTGATTTTCTAGTTTCCATTTTTATCTTACGAATGAATGAAATTCACGTTAATATGAGGGTTTCCTCTTGTATGCAATTTCTTTTTAATTACAGCAAATATATTTGACTGTATGATATAAAAAATATATTGTAAAAATTTTCATTACGTGTAATGATAATAATAGAAGTAATTGCAATTATTGGCAGACAGAATTTGTTGTATATCACTACCGTAATGAATATGAACGAAAACGAAATACTTTTTGAAATGTACTGTAAATTTATTGGAAGATTTTGATGTATATAACTCAGTTTTTGATCAAGAAAATACATCTATATATATATATATATATATATATATATATATATATATATATATATATATATATATATATATATATATATATATATATATATATATATATATATATATATATATATATATATATATATATATATATATATATATATATATATATATATATATATATATATATATATATATATATATATATATATATATATATATATATATATATATATATATATATATATATATATATATATATATATATATATATATATATATATATATATATATATATATATATATATATATATATATATATATATATATATATATATATATATATATATATATATATATATATATATATATATATATATATATATATATATATATATATATATATATATATATATATATATATATATATATATATATATATATATATATATATATATATATATATATATATATATATATATATATATATATATATATATATATATATATATATATATATATACATACACCTATTACAAATAAAATATTATTTGTAATATTGGGTATCTTTTTATTTATATGTTTTATAAAATATTTTAATACTTTACAGTGGTGTTTTAAAATGCTTTACGGTGTGTTATAAAATATTTTAATATTTTACAGTAGGCTGATTGAGCACCTTGCACATATGCAACCCTCTCATGCGAGATGCAGACGGTACATCAAGCATGATTGGGTAAACTGAGACACGTTAACGTTCTAAAGACCATACATTAAAGGATTCCTATTTTTAATATCTATTTAAATTGTTATACTATAATCTCTATATATTATTTTTGTAAATATTTTATATAAGTTCTAATAACAAGAAATCAATTGATGTCTGTGTGTATAAATGTATGAATTATAATTATATATTAAAGAATTATATTAGCTTTATAAATAAATATTTCTTATAGATGTAATAGATACAGAAAATTTAAATGTTTATTTGAATTTATCTGTTAAGAAAGAAGTAATATTAGAATTAAATTAAATGCATGTTATTTTTAAATACGTCTATGATAAATTTCACCTTAATATCTTTTATAGGTATGATAGACAGAAAAATATCTATCCTAACATATCAGCATGGAGGTAGAAGACTGAAAGCTTGATAATAGAATGGAATCCAGGATGCCAGTGAAATACGACGATTCTTAAGTTCAGGATGGAACTTAGAAAAGGGCCTTGGTCGAAAAAAATCCTGGTTCCAGCTTGTTTTCTGGTAATTCTCATCTGGATCTTTTTAATCGACAATTCCTTACTACTCGACAACCTGCCTGGTAAAGCAACCTTCCAAAAACCGAGAAATTTCGTTCCACTCGCACACGACCCGAATCTGGATCGTCTAACGATCAAGAAATCCTCTCTGATAAGCGATGTCGAATTGAAACACACGAAAGTATCGAAGCTTCAAATGGTGTCGCTTTGGACAGGCAACAACAGCGTTAAAGGGAACACAGGATCCTTGCGAAAGTATCAGATCTTGAGACAGCAAGGTTTAATGCCGAGTAAACAATTACCCACAGCTTTGATAATTGGAGTTAAAAAAGGCGGGACTAGAGCTCTGTTAGAATTTTTGAGATTGCATCCTGCTATTCGCGCAGCTGGATCCGAAGTTCACTTTTTTGATCATCATTACATCAAGGGGTTTCATTGGTATAGGTAGGTTTGTTACACTGTTTCGTGGTTTGTATTCATCTTAGTATACACAGTGGCGTTCTAAAATTTTCGACCAAATAAATTTTTAACTTGATATTCGAAAGATGATGTCTAAAAGAATTTCAAATAATATTGACTGTACCAGTATGATAAGTAAAAGGAAATATTACTTAAAATTCTTTGTAAAGCGAAAAAGAAAAATCTGTCTGGCTGGAAACTTTATCACGTCACTGTACTTAACTATTTTTATTTCGCCAATATTCCTATGCACATTCTTAGGAAGTTATTTTTATTTTACAAAAATTACTAATAATGTGACTTAATAAAATATTTTTCTTACGGTATATTCTAGGCATAGGATGCCTCCGACATTGTCCACTCAAATCACGATGGAGAAAACCCCGTCGTATTTCGTGACGAGCGAAGTACCGAGAAGAGTTCAACGAATGAATCTTGCGATGAAATTGATTCTCGTAGTAAGGGATCCAGTTACTCGAGCGATATCCGATTATACCCAAGTGAAGAGTAAACGAGCCAACATGCCAAAATTCGAGGATCTAGCGTTTCTTAATGGGTCGAAAATCGTGGACACAACGTGGGTCCCATTGAAGATCGGAGTGTACGCGCGACACTTAGAGAGATGGCTTCAGTACTTTCCATTGTCACAATTTTTATTCGTCTCTGGAGAAAGATTGATCGTGGATCCAGTCGCTGAGATTACCAGGGTTCAGGACTTTTTAGGCCTAAAAAGAGTTATCTGCGAGAAACATTTTTATTTCAATGCCACGAAGGGGTTCCCCTGTCTGCTCAAATCTGAGGAACGTCCTACACCCCATTGCCTTGGTGAGTTGATTAAAAATAATTCCTGTTAATCCCTCAAAATACTATTGCCTCCTAAAAAATACTACAGACTTATGTATAACGTATAATTTGTCAAATATGTTGGCAAAATTATCGCGAGTCTTCTAGAGCATGTACACGTAAATTATGAAATACAACTATAAATGTGGAGTTGGTTTCTCACAGTTGTATGTATAAACAAATTTTCTTATGATACCGAACTTTTTGTGCTCTAAGATCCGTATCATTTGAGATTCTATAATATGAAACATATTTTCTGCATTAAGAAGGAATCTAATTATATGTATTTCATAAATTTCAAGGTAAGAACAAGGGTCGTAGTCATCCTTACATAGATCCTGTAGCCATACAACGATTGAGAGATTTTTATCGTCCATTCAATCAACGTTTCTACCAATTGACCGGAATGGATTTCGGCTGGTTGTGAGAATAAATGCGATAAGCGAATACATATCGAAGCTAGTCAAGTAAAAGAACATAGTCAATTTTTACTGAGATACGACACGCGCGCATGCGGACACCATTAGTTTGCACTAGTTAGTAAATAATTAGTAAAAGAACCAGATAATACTCTTCGGTTAGTTTATATTCGTTTTTACTCTAAACCAGAATATTTTTTTATGTACTGCATAAACGTGGAAAAAGAAGAAAGGCATATCCATCGTTTCAATGTGTTGACAATACACAGAAAGAGAATTCCTGTTCTTGTTCGTGATATTAACTTTTAGACACGCGTATAGATTTATAGTGGCAGCAGAATGTTATCAATCGTATGTATCATTTTTCGCATACATATATTCCACTATATTTTTTACAGGACATTACAAAAGAAAAAAAAAGAATAGTATATCCGAATTTTAAACGATAAATGGCCATACGCGTTATTCTTTTGTTCATATTTTATTCGTTCGTTATTATCAAATCTATTATTTATTACAATAGAATCTTTAAAAATGTTTATTACATATTAAAATGTTGATTCGTTAATTCCATCTTCCATTGAAGTAGTTGTGCAGAATAGAAAATGTTCGAATCTGTATTAAAATACGTAGTTACTGTTATTGATTGTATAGAGTTCTGTTTAGAATTAAGAATTGTTTGCACATTTTGTTGAATTTTTGATCTTCCAATGTATCAAGCACAGAATCTACGTAATCTACGTAATTCTAATGATATTTACCTAGTATATGTATCATTATGTTTAAGCAAGAAAGCGATGAATATTTTCTGAATAATTTAGTTGAACTGCGTCAAAATGTCATTAAATTATAAGAAACGCTATAACAGTGTAGAAGTTCTCGTAGATGCGGAAACGGAAACTGAGTACAATTTAAAGTAATAAAAAATTACGTCTCGCGTTTAATATACGAGTACAGTTTTAACGAACGTATTTCGGTTAGAGGAAAAAGAAGCATAGAAATATTAATAACGTCAATTAGACATTTGTAATGACGAGGGTTATTAAAAAAAAAGTTTGTGTAATCGTATCAAAATATATAATTAATTTCGATAGGTGCAAGTGGCAAGAGTTTGCACAAACTGCAATAAAAAATAATGTATTTATATTTTGCAAATGTGCACACACATACGAGCACAAATCACACACACACACACACACACACACACACACACACACACACACACACACACACACACACACACACACACACACACACACACACACACACACACACACACACACACACACACACACACACACACACACACACACACACACACACACACACACACACACACACACACACACACACACACACACACACACACACACACACACACACACACACACACACACACACACACACACACACACACACACACACACACACACACACACACACACACACACACACACACACACACACACACACACACACACACACACACACACACACACACACACACACACACACACACACACACACACACACACACACACACACACACACACACACACACACACACACACACACACACACACACACACACACACACACACACACACACACACACACACACACACACACACACACACACACACACACACACACACACACACACACACACACACACACACACACACACACACACACACACACACACACACACACACACACACACACACACACACACACACACACACACACACACACACACACACACACACACACACACACACACACACACACACACACACACACACACACACACATACACATACACACACATATCATATATTATAAAACAGTTTTTACAAATTCAATTATAAAGTTATGTGAACTTTAATTAAATAGTTAGAGAGGGAAGAGTAGTTGCATAAATTATCAGAGTTCGTTTAGAAATTGTCTTCTATATTGATAAAAATATTCCTGAATAGTTATTAATTACAAAAATTTGTTAGTATAAATTTACAGTATATCATTAAATGAAAACTTTAACTCGTAGCTCAGAGTTACGAAAATAATTCGCAACGATTGTATTGTTAAGTAGTTCATTATATATTAAGTTTACTTGCTCAAGTGGCCTAATTAATCTAAAAAAAAAACAAAGTTGTAAATAAACAGTGATTTACCAACTAAAAAAACAATGCGTAATCTATATGTATACTTACGTTTTATCCAATCTTTTTCCCTCTTCGAAACGCTACAGCAATCGTTCAGAAAGAATAAAAAATTCCTCCTCGATAATCCTGTGTAGGTAAAAATTGGAAAAGCCCCACCAGTGAATGGATTATCAACTATTCAGTTACAGGAAAAGATGTTACAGGTACCGAAATAACAACAAGTCCAATAGTCTGTTACAAATTTTGTAATGAAATATTGCTTTCGACTTATCGAAAGGGAGGAAAACAACACGATGCACGTGCACGTTTCCTTTATACAACTGTATAGAGTATTGTTTTAATACTTTCCGCAAAAGATTCATCCTCCTTTTGTACAAATGTTACGACATTAAGAAATACGTCTCTCTAGTCTGTTTCCCTACTATCTATCGAACTATCGAGATAAGTGAAAGTTAACGATAGAAATTTCAGCCGTACGATTTCAGTCAAACGATTCGTCAAATTTTCCTCGGCCAACGTTTATCCATAATATGCTTCTTCCCTTAGTCAGAAGTACAAATTAAACGGAAACTATTTACTTTCTTGGAAATTATTAAGTACATTTTTGGTCCCATCGAAATGGCAAAATATATATGCATATTACGTAAGTATATATAAAAAGATGTAAGTGCGACATAGGTTTTATTGGTACTCTAATCTTATGTTAAAGATTCTTGAGCAATCTTATCGATTGGTGGACGGAATACATACTGTCGAGAGGGATGATATTACAATACACAGTAGGTCAGTATGTTCATCATACGTGATCATCGAACGATCGTAATAACTAACGCATAATACAATTCGATTCGATTAACAAAATACTGATTCAACATTACGTCCGGGATAGAAACAACTATCCTTTTATATTTCTTTTTTTCCTTCCTCTATTTTGGGACTATTCTATATGGATAACGATATAATCATCTTGCCTTGGTCCTTCGTTACGAAAACAATTGATCATGAATTTTCGCGAAAAGAAGAATACATACGTATAATAATATTCGCCTTTGCCTACTTTCATGTTTTTCCTTTTTTTCTCTTTCTTTGGGATATCGAAAGAGAAGAAAAGGAAAAGAAAGAAAGATGATCTATAAAATAAAATTTTCTGAATACTTAACGTTAAATTAACGACTACAATGTTCCTTACGTCTACTACTAATACGTCATAATTTTTCGTTATTGTCTCTAACATACGTAATTAAGATCATGCTCAATCACGATATCGTTTTCACGATTATTATCATGATTTCGATTATTACTGACAATTGGAAGCATTTCGTGATGCACGTACGAGAGAAATGCATCGGATAGAATTTTACGATCTACGCTCTTCCTCCTCGTCATACTCTTGGCGATGGTGAACGTGAAATGTTCCTTGGAAATGTTTCTTCGTGAGTTGATTCTCTTCGACGGTTTCGGTTCCATCGATCGAATGCAGATGCACAATCCCGGCCTGTTTTCCACGACAGACTTAGCCTGCATCAATCAAACGAACAAAACGAAAATATCATCCGATTGAAATTCCTTTATCGTTTGCAAATTCCATAAAATGTGTCTCAGAATAGAGAACCTCGTGCCCATGATTTAAATTAATAAAATAAATTATCCCGTTGTCGTCATAGTTTAGCAAATATTTTAGTCACAGAACAGTTAGAATATAAATTACAGGCTCGATCCAGTGGATGTTTGATCTGACAATAAGTGCATCTGTAGTCATGAATAAAAAAAGACAACAAAGACACGAAGTCGGCCAGTTTACAGTTTGAAAAATCGTGGCTTCACTGAGCCAGAACAACGCATTCAAATGGAATATCCATTTCACCGCATATACAATTGCTATCCATAATCTATATACAAGATAAACGGATTCACGATCGAATCGCTCGGCATGAGAAGATCCGATCTTTTTATCACAAAACTGGGACACAAATTCCGATAAAACTTAATGGCAAGTTGCTACGAAGCGCTTCCACATAGTGGCAATGAGGAGGTGTCTTACATCTTACGAATATGTACGATCTACGAATAGTCAACACGTCACGAATTCGTTTAACGAATGGTCTCTTTTGCTTGTTCATCTATAACGAGTACAATGAGCGACGAAATTATTTTTACAACTGAAAATATAAGAAAAATTTGTAGAATGATAAGACGGTATAAAGAATTTTGTAATAATACCTCATATATGTACTTTTAAATAAAAAGTATATCGAGAGGTTGTTTATTGTCTAATAATAATAAGATAGTTTGTAACACAGTGTACTTAGAGATACTTTTGTGATTTTCCTGTCTCAGAATCTAATAAATAATATATTTCTAATATTTTAAATTACTTTCAGTTGCATATATTTCTTATTGTATAATTTTCATTGTATAAGTAATTTTGTTACTTATCGTATACGTTCTTTGAACGTATTTTATTATTTTTCTTGATCTTTTCCCCTTTGTACTATTTGAAAAAATCAAATTCGCTGATTTATATAATAGTTTATTTATGGCTGATACTTTAACGATACTTTTAATTTAGTTCCTATTATCATTTTCTTCTCTTTCTTTTTCTCTTTTCTGTTTTTTCAATAATTAAACTTACGCTTAAGCGAAGATCTCGAATAGACTATGTAAACGCATAAGGACGAATATGGCATCGGAACGCGCTTCTAGCACCGTCAAGGCAAGCAATTCGTTTTAACGGTCGACAATGGAATCGCTGTGTGTTGAACCGTTGCAAGCGATACGTGTAACAACACGTGCACGAAGCGGGACTGATCGTCGTCTAGGTATACACCCTTCGTGCATTTTCCTTATCCCTCATTAATTTTGTATGAGTCGGTTTCTTTCTTTTATTCTTTCACACTGTGTCTCGTGGCTGCTCGTTTCTCAGCAGAAACGCGTTTCAAGTACAGAGTCGCGAGCTTTGTCGCGTGCGCGATTTGCGTTTCCCTTTCTCCTTTTCTTTCGTTCCTCGATGCAAGAAAAGAAAAGAAACGTCGGCGCGCGTTACGCCAACACGCGCTACGTTACGTAGCGAAGAACGAACGAAGCTCGTCTAAAGTGAAATTTATAAAATCAACAATCAACGTGCGAACAATTTACAAAAAAAAAAAAAGAGAAATTTTCGAACGCTCTAATAAGAGTAAAACCTTCTCTCCATCTTATCGTGATCCAGCGATATTTCTTACTGATAATTCATCTCCGAGATGGACTTACAATTTCATCGCAAATTCGTATAATATCAGTAACACGAGTAATCGATGAACATTCTTCCTCTTTATATATTCGTATCGTTCATCGTATCGATTCTCGCCCTACGTTCTTTTAAACGAAACAAATAAAACAAAAACCGCGCCTACTATCCCTTACGCTTCCTATAAACAAGCAACAATCGTGATACCACTGTTTCAGTCAGTTTTCGATAGCTCGCTTATCTATGTCGGATGTATCATCGTGCATCTTCGCCGACTGATAAAAGGTAGCTGCGTTCGTTATTACAGGAAAAAGCAATAAGGAAGAGTAAAAGAGAAGAGCTTGAGACACTGATGAGATTCCTCGTCGGTGCGCGAGTTCGCATCGTGATATTGCTTCAGAGATGAGTGATAATGATATCGTCGTCTATATCGTCCTTTTCGTCGTCCGTTTCTTCCACTTGGTTCGCCTCTGCTTGGGCCGCTTTCGGATCCTCCGCGATCGCCTTCAGCCTTTTCTGTTTACGCCTATGCAATAGTTCCACTATGATGTAGCCAATTGTCCCGATAAGAAGCACTGTTAGCATCACGTACAGCTTCATACGGGCGCATAAATGGGTGCTGTATGCGTATGCTATCACGAAACCGGC